AAATAGATGGGGAAACAGTGGAAACAGTGTCAGACTTTATTTTGGGGGGCTCCAAAATCACTACAGATGGTGATTGCAGCCATGAAATTAAAAGAAGCTTACTCCTTGGAAGGAAAGTTATGACCAACCTAGATAGCATATTAAAAAGCAAAGACATTAGTTTGCCAACAAAGGTCCATCTAGTCAAGGCTATGGTTTTTCCAGTGGTCATATATGGATGTGAGAGTTGGACTATGAAGAAAGCTGAGTGCCGAAAAATTGATGCTTTTGAACTGTGGTGTTGGAGAAGACTCTTGAGAGTCCCTCGGACTGCAAGGAGATCCAACCAGTCCATCCTAAAGGAGATGAGTCCTGGGTGTCCATTGGAAGGAATGATGCTGAAGCTGAAACTCCAATAGTTTGGCCACCTGATGCAAAGAACTGACTCATTTGAAAAGACCCTGATGCTGGGAGGGATTGGGGGCAGGAGGAGAAGGGGACGACAGAGGATGAGATGGCTGGATGGCATCACCGACTCAATGGACAAGAGTTTGGGTAAACTCTGGGAGTTGGTGATGGACAGGGAGGCCTGGTGTGCTGCGATTCATGGGGTTGCAAAGAGTCAGACACGACTGAGCAACTGAGCTGACTGACTGAATGACAAGAGGTTCAGGCAAGACAGCTGCAAAACCTGCTTAGGCTCCATGGCTCCCAGCAAAGCCTTAACCATTTGCCCTTTTTCCACAGAACATTCCTCCCTCAGAGCACTACACGGGGCCAAATGGCTTTAAAAGTCTAGCTCAGGAGGCCACGAGACTGGCAGACAGGTGAGTAGTACTGGAGGGCGCCTCTGCTTCAGACCACCTCTGTGAGGCCAGACTTAACTCTGCTGAGTGTTCAGGACCAAAGCTCCATCCTGATTACCTCCAGCCTCCTTTGCAGCCATCCCCCTGCCCTGAAGCCATTTTTTAACCGCTTGACTTTCAGTGTCAGTAGGTGGCTACTGGGCCAGGTCATTTGGCAGGAGTTGGGGGTGGGGTGTTTCTTTTCCAGATTTCTCTGTGACTCATGGTATGGCTTCGGTGTATGTCAGATGTAATTCCTTGGGCCCAGTGAAATGAATCAGCCCTTGGAAAAGAGTACTTTGCAGCTTTGAGGGACTCCCAGGCTCCCACACCAAGCCTGGGAACAAGTAACAACGAGTTGTTTGCTAGCCTGTGGGGGCCAGTTGTGCAGAGGGAGAGAATTCCCTCCTGAAAACCGGCTCTGCAGGGCCCTGGTAATCACAGGCAGCTCCTTAGTCCTTGCTGATTGCAAATCCTACAATCAGGATTGATGTTGAAGAGGTTTGCTCCTGGCAGAGGGCTCAGCAAGGTGGCAGGCTTTGCTAATCCTGAATGGAATTTAGTCGGCAGAAGGGGGCTGGCTAATGGATTTGTTTTCATACGTTTCTAGAACCAGGAGGTCAAAAGCAACTGGGAAACTGTTATCGATGGGCTTTGTCCCCCTTAATGTTGGGCTAAGTTTAAAGATGCAGCAAAAAGTGGAGAGGGAGTTGGATCCTAGATAAAATAAAGCCTAGGGATTTCTCCTGCAGAAAACAGTTTATAAATGCAGTATTTATCACCCTGAGATTTCTCCTGCCCATCCTCATAGTTTCTCCTGATTATGCTATAAATGGAGTAGATCATCAAAAAAGTTTAGGATGTGAGACTACTTCTCAGAACACCTTCTGCTTCTTGATAGCACCTCTAATAGAGGAGCTCCATCTCATCTGGGTCATTTCTGTTTGTTTTTTTGAGTCAAAGCAGTTCTCTTACTCCTCTCCCTTTATTTAAATAAAAGGCCTAAAGGACACTCTTTGCATCCTTCCACATCATTTCTTTTTAGATTCCACATATAAGGGGTGTCATATGATATTTCACCTTCTCAGTCTGACTTACTTCACTCAGTATGACAATTTCTAGGTCCATCCATGTTTATGCAAATGACACTATTCATCCTTTTTAATGGCTGAGTAATATTCCATTGTATACATATATCACATTTTCTTTATCCATTCCTCTGTTGAATGTCATACAGGTTGCTCCCATATCTTGGCTATTGTAAATGGTGCTGCAGTGAACACTGGGATGCATGTGTCCTTTCTCATCATGTTTTCCTCCAGATATATCCCCAGGAGTGGGACTGTAGGTCATATGGTAGCTCTATTTGGGAGGAAGGGGTAGTTAGGGATTTGGGGATGGACGTGTACGCACTGCTATATTTTAAATGGATAACCAACAAGGACCTATTGTACAGCACATGGAGCCCTGTTCAGTGTTATGTGGCAGCCTGGATGGGAGGGAAGTTTAGGGGAGAATGGATACATGTATATGTACGGCTGAGTCCCTTTGCTGTCCACCTGGAACCATCACAGTGTTGTTCATCGGTTACACCCTAATATAAAATAAAAATGTTGTATGGAAAAAAAAAATTTTTTTTTAATAATAAAGGAAGCCTTTGCTATAAAAACTCATTCTTTTTGATCCTTTCAGCCATGTTGAGTCAGCCAATAACATGGAGCAGCTGGTCAGGGAAACTGAAGACTACTCCAACCAAGCCCTGACCTTGGCGCGCAAGGCAGCTGCTGAAGGGGGCAGCAGCGGCAGCCTCCGTGGCTCCGTGGTACAAGAGCTTGTGGGAAAGTACGTTTCAGCAGGTCCTCACTATAATCCGCTCCCTCCCAGGGTACAATGCAAAGGTCTGAGGAGTGCTGTGTTCCTTTAAATGTATCAATAGTAAGAAGGACATGAGAATGAGCACGTTACTTTGGAGGAAAGCCGATGCCTTTAAGACTGGAAGAAAAACGTCACTTACTCTAAGTAAAGTTTCAGTTTTGATTTAGAGATTGTGTATTTGTAGATATGGTACCATCTGTGGTGTTTAAGGGATGTGAACACACCCATCTGGTGGCATGGAGCGTATAAGCCTAATATATTCATGTGATTAAGAATTGGGAAACTTGGGTTGAATTTTTCTGACCTAACCTGTGTAAACTCTAATGTCTGTGTTTAAATTGTGGAAAGAGACGCATATCAGACATTCATGCTCGTCTGGTTCTTCGGATAATCCTGACGACATATTTTTAACAGAGTGAATTTTTGCTTTTAATAAAAAGAGCGAATTCTCAAAGTCTGCTGTCTTCACTCCCTGCAGATTGGAGAAAACCAAGTCTCTGGCCCAGCAGCTGTCGAGGGAGGCCACTCAAGTTGACACTGAAGCAGATGCGTCCTATCAGCATAGTCTCCGCCTTCTCAGTTCAGCAACTCAGCTTCAGGGGGTCAATGATCAGTCCTTCCAGGTAAGAGTATCTAACCTATGCAGTGATGTTCAGAAGAAGGGCCATAATGCTTTCTTCTCAGGAGATTCTGTTGAATTGTTCAATCATCCAGTTTTTTCCTCCATATTTACCTTTCTTGCTTTAAATTAGGAAGAGCATTTATCCTCCTCTTATCTTTCTTCTTAAACTCCAATCTTGATCCCTGATCACACCTTGGTTCACATCCTGAGCCTATTTCTGTTAGTGAATACAAGTTTTCTATCTCTTGCCTAGTTTGGGGGACTGTTGAAACCTGTGCGAAATTACTATAGGTAAATTTTGGTATTTACCTTTGGGTCCAACCTATAGTGTATCTTCATGTATACCCACTTGGAAGGCTTTTTTTCCCCCTCAAAAGTTTGTGTTGTTTCTGTCATCAATTCCTTTAACTATTCCAAATTTATTGGATTAAGATTCAGCTTTCTACTCACAGCATAAAGCATTCACAGTGATTTTCACACATAGGAAACAGTAATAAAAAACGCAGAGCAGACATAAAATTCGTTTGCTAGTTGAGAGGCATGCTGCCTGACTTGCATGTGGAATGTTGCCTATTTCTGTTGGACTTTGGGCCTGGATTGTTGTTTTCAGACAATGATGGCAGGTCCTAAGAAGACTGGTGTGGCACCTGGTGAGCAGAAAGTAAGGCGTTTTCATTTTGGGGGACTCACAGGTAGAAGCGAAGAGGATCAGACAAAAAGCTGACTCTCTCTCAAGCCTGGTGACTAAGCGAATGGATGAGTTCAAGCGTGTGCAAAGCAGTCTGGGAAACTGGGAAGAAGAAACCCAGAAGCTCTTAGAGGATGGGAAGAATGAGAGACAGGTACCCTTTGTTACTTTGTTCCTTCAGCAGACCTGTATTGAATGGCTACCAGTAAGAGGAACCATCAAAAACTCTCAAAAGGTCATGGTATTGTTGCTTATGGAGACCTTAATGTGATTACCTCAGTTCCATTCACTGAGTCAGCCCTCCAATGTAAGTATAGGACTGAGATCTCCTGGGCCCAATTTTGATCTAGCTCTGTCTACGAAGACATATGTCTATACTTCCTAGGTATATATGACATATATCTGTGAAGTATATGTCCATACTTCAGGAAGTATCTAGAGTTTAAAATGAAGATTTGCAAAACTGTTCTTGTCCCTGAGTAGAGCTCGAGACTGTCCTCAATGTGGAATCCTACTGGGTCATCAGGTTATAAAGTTTGTGGTCTCAGGTTGTGGAGGGGTTTGCTACAGCACCCCTAGACTCCAGGAATCACAGTTCTCTGTTGTGAGTCGCAGTGTGTCAGACTGACTATGCTCTGCCCTGGTGTGTGTTACATTTACTCTAATCTTGTTCTGCCTGCCCATTTACAGAAATCAGATCAGCTGCTTTCCCGTGCCAACCTTGCTAAAAGCAGAGCCCAAGAAGCACTAAGTATGGGCAATGCCACTTTTTATGAAGTTGAGAACATCTTAAAGAACCTCAGAGGTGAGTATTTCAGGGTTCAGATCACTTGAGTATTTTTAAGGTATAAACGTGACTGGTTTATTTTGAATCTTCATAAATCTCTGTAAGTGGCAGGCATGTTGAGGTATTAATATACACTCAATAAATATCTTTGTAAAGAAAAACATTTTAAAATATTTAATATAGTAGAAACAGTTGTGCAAACTGCAAGTGTTAATTGCACAGTTGCATCTGACTCTTTGTGACCCAATGGACTGTGGCCCGCTAGGTTCCTCTGTCCATGGGATTGTCCAGGCAAGAATACTGGAGTGGGTAGCTATTCCCTTCTCCAGAGGATTTTCCCAACCCAGGGGTCCAACCCAGGTCTCCCACATTGCAGGCAGATTCTTTACCATCTAAGCCACCAGGGAAGCCCGTATTGTACTAAATGTCAAAGGGCCTGAGTTCTGATCTATGCTCGATCGTGTGATGAGGCTGAGCTGGTTGTGTGACTGTAGGCAAGTCACATAACCTTTCCAGACTCTGATTTTCCCATCTCTAAATGAAGAAATTTGAACTAAACTGCCTCGAAGGTCCTGCAGAGATCTGATATCTCACTATCATATAGATAATTTTCATTTCTCTCCCTTTCTTTCTTTCTTCCTTTCTCTCTCTCTGTCTTTCTTTCTTTGGCCTGGTTGGTTCCAATACAGAGTCAGTGAGGTTGCCTTGTGATAAATGATATAGAACAAGCTTTGTCATAGCATCTAGATTCTGGGAAATTTGGGTGTGTGCCTTGCAGTGCGTGCATGCTAAGTCGCTTCAGTTGTTTCTGACTCTTTGTGATCCTGTGGACTGTAGCTGGTCAGTCTCCTCTGTCCATGGGGTTCTCCAGGCAAGCGTGCTAGAGTGGATTGCCATGCCCCCCTCCAGAGGATCTTTCCGACCCAGGGATTGAAGCCGACTCTTTTCTGTCTCCTGCACTGGCAGATGGGTTCTTTACCACTACTGCCACTGGCAGCTTAGGGTTTAAGGCTCGGGCTTGAAACTTTGGGCTTCAAAGAGTCTACTTGCTTCTGATTCATTTGGAGGTTGACTTTTGCAAAGATGGGGACCCAGGGCAGGCTGATTGTTGATTGTCAGTTCAATACTTTCTCTTGGACAAGAGTCATGACCATAACTTTCCACTCTCTCATCCCTTGGGTGCTAGTAACACTCTGATTTTTCTTAAAGGCCTCAGCCCCTTTCATCTTCAGTTGTAAGTTAATTTTCATCTTCATGGCAGTGTTTTCTTATCTTCATTTCAGAGTTTGATCTGCAGGTTGAAGACAGAAAAGCAGAGGCTGAAGAGGCCATGAAGAGACTCTCTTACATCAGCCGGGAGGTTGCAGACGCCAGCGACAGGACCAGGCGAGCAGAAGCAGCCCTGGGGGGTGCTGCCGCCGACGCCCAGAGGGCAAAGACTGCAGCTGGGGAGGCCCTGAAGATCGCCGGCAAGATAGAACAGGTAAAGAGAAATCGCAGGTCAGCGGGAGCAGCTTCAAACACACCGGTCATGTTGAATGAGCGAGAGCGTTGGGCTCATTCTGACCTGTAGGACTCAGTGTCCTGTTATGGTCCGTGGTGTGCCCAGATCTACTTGGCTGGCCTTTTGGTTGGTTGGTTGTTTCACAAGCCTGTCATTGACTGAGGGCTAGAGCCCCACCCCTGCCATTTTCAGCCCCTCTTTTAGGACAACACCATGAGACGAACCATGCAAGATTGCTTTTTTTTTTTCTGTGTTTTTTTCTTTTTATTAGTTGGAGGCTAATTACTTTACAATATTGTAGTGGTTTTTGTCATACATTGACATGAATCAGCTATGGATTTACATGTATTCCCCATCCCGATCCCCCCTCCCACCTCCCTCTCCACCCGATTCCTCTGGGTCTTCCCAGTGCACCAGGCCCGAGCACTTGTCTCATGCATCCCACCTGGGCTGGTGATCTGTTTCACCCTAGATAATGTGTATGTTTCGATGCTGTTCTCTTGAAACATCCGACCCTCGCCTTCTCGCACAGAGTCCAAAAGTCTGTTCTATACATCTGTGTCTCTTTTTCTGTTTTGCATACAGGGTTACCGTTACCATCTTTCTAAATTCCATATATATGTGTTAGTATACTGTAATGGTCTTTATCTTTCTGGCTTACTTCACTGTGTATAATGGGCTCCAGTTTCATCCATCTCATTAGAACTGATTCAAATGAATTCTTTTTAATGGCTGAGTAATATAAGATTGCTTTTTATTTAGACTTCTGTTAGTTTCCTGCTATCAAAAAGCAGCACAGACTGGGTGGCTTCAAACAACAGGAATTTATCCTCTCAGAGTTCTGGAGGCTAGAAGTCTGAAATCAAGGAGTCAGCAGAGCGATGCTCCCTCCGAGACTCTGGCTAGAAACCTCCCGTGCCTCTTCCTAGCTTCCGGTGTGGCTGTCAATCCTTTGTGTTCCTTGGTTTGCAGTGGCTTCTCTCTAGTCCCTGCCTCTGTCATCAGCTGGGGTCCTTCTTCCTGGCTTTCTGCAGCTCTTCTTAAAAGGATGCTGGTTGGATTTGGGGCCCACTCTCCTCCAGCATGACCTTATCTTAATAAATTACATCTGCAACAACCCTATTTCCGAATTAGATCACACTCTGAGGTATTAGGAGTTAGAATTTCAACACATCTTTTTCGGGGGGGACACAGTTCAACTTGCAGCAACTATCCCAGTGTTTTGATTCAAGATTGTGAAATTCTGGAATTCTGGGTCTAAGCTCCACTTACTCATTTTTCGCTTTGCTTCCACTATGTGCCAGCACTGTGCTTGGTGCTGGGGATATGGAGATGGGAAAAACTCAGTCCTTCTCTTCCAGGAGCACTCCGTGTAATGGGAAAGACAAGCTAGTTGCACTTAGAGCCCAAATGTTAAGTGCTACAGTAGAAAGAGTGCTTCTCAGCTGGAAGAGAGCTTCCTAGTTCTGATTTAAGCGTGGCTTTTAGAAATCATAAGCAACTCTAGAAAGCCCAGAGGGAACTTTTGGTATATAGACTGTGTGGCCTCACTCTTGGACCACTTGAAAACTTCCAAAAATAATCTCAAATCTTAGGTCCCTTGAGGGTAGAGACCAATTTTCTGTGCCTCTCTTTATATGGCTTCTAGCACAGAGACATCTGTGACTTGATGCCTAATAGTAGCTTGTTGAGAAGGATATTAAGATTCATTCATCCTAGTAAAAACAAAACTCAAAGCTGTAGCCCATTCATTCTCTGCACCCCAAACCTCAAGTGTCTTGTGGAACAAAGCCATTCAAAAGATGATGGCAGCAAAGAAATATGACTGAGAAAGAGTTGAGTTTCTCACCCTCTGGGTTTTCCCAACTGGTTCCTGTTTCACTCAACATTTATTGAGCTTGACCTGAGAGGGAAGCAGTGTCTCACGGCTGACCATCCTAGTCTCTGGAGACATACCCCCAAATTCATTTGTTTGAGGCAGAGCTTGGGGAAGGGGGTGTCTCCAAGTCTGACTCTCTCATTGTTCATCTCACTGACTCCATCGGAGCCTGGCTGCAGCTGTATTTTTCCTGCTGTCTTTGGGGTGTTTCTGTGCCTCACCCCTCTCTCCTTCCGTCCCTGGCTCCTTTTCTTCTCCCAGGAGATTGGGAGTCTGAACTTGGAGGCCAACGTGACAGCAGATGGAGCCTTGGCCATGGAGAAGGGACTGGCCACTCTCAAGAGTGAGATGAGGAAAGTGGAAGGAGAGCTGGCAAGGAAGGAGCAGGAGTTCGACGCGGATGTGGACGCAGTGCAGACAGTGAGTCCCATGGCTTTCCATGGCAGAGTCCTTTAACCTGGCCAGTGTGGGGACACCCTTTCCAGATGGGCTTGTGTTTCTTTCTCCCTCAGGTAATTACAGAAGCCCAGAGAGTTGGCAGCAGAGCCGAGAATGCTGGAGTCACGATCCAAGACACACTCAGCACGTTGGATGGCATCCTACATCTAATAGGTGTGTGGAGGCCCACAGCCTTCCAACCTGTGTCCCAGGGCTTCCCCCAGAAGATTAACTAGACTCAGTCGTGATGCGTGGGAATCTCAACTTCCCTTAAGGGTGTCAGGAAATTTGCTTTGTTTCCAGGCTCAGATACCTTAGGCAGATTGCTTTTCGTTTGCTGTGTTCTATTTTACCATCTCTAAGGTGGGTCACTGGGCATCTACCTATTGCCCTTGGAGATGAAAGTCTGTAGGTCAAAGAACTGGGTGTATTTGGGGAAGGTATATTGAGGCTCAGAGTGGTTAGTAATGTTCTGCAGATCACACAGTAAGTTGTGGAGGTAGGATTCGAACTTCACAGTGAAAGAGAATACTGGATGGCTTGACAGCCCCACTAAGGATTCTGACCTTGATCCTGAGAATCTAGTGGACAGTGTCACGCAGAGGGATAACGTCAGTGTTGTATGTTTTAGAAAGATCACTGGGGCAGCTGGGTGGAGGAGAGTTTGAAGGAGGCTTAAACAAGAGGCAGGATAAGATCATTTTGGAGACAGTTGTAGTAATTGAGAGGTGAGAGAGCTCTGAGGCAGTAGGAGTGGTGAGGGGGAAGACTCTCCCAGCCTGTGAGGTCAAGGATCACTTGCTGAGGGACTTGCCTGGTGATCCAGTGACTAAGGCTCTGTACTTGCAATGCAGGGGCCCCAGGTTTGATCCCTGGTCAGGGAACTAGATCCCGTGTGCAGCAACTAAGACCTGGCACAGTCAAATAAATACATAAATATTAAGAAAAAAGAATTACTTGCTGACTCTGCTGTTTGCCCCTCCCCAGACCACAATTGGGACTTCCCAGGTGGCGCTAGTGGTAAAGAACCCACCTGCTGATGCAGCAGACGTAAGATATGGGCTCGATCCCTGGGTCAGGAGGATCCTCTGCAGGAGGGCATGACAACCCACTCCAGTATTCTTGCCTGGAGAGTCCCACGGGCAGAGGAGCCTGGTGGGATACACAGTGCATAGGGTAGCAAAGAGTTGAACACTACTGAGCACCCACGTGCGCGCACACACACACACACACAAACCACAGTTACACCTTGTTTTAACTGGTTGTGGAAACTTGAGCTGCCTGGTAGATGATCCAGATGAAATGTCAAAGTGGTAGGTCCATGAGACACTGTAGAAATTGTAGGCTAAGATAGATTGGATGGCACCCCATGACAGCAGCTCCAGTTACCTCACAGCATCCCTCCCAGAAGAAAGTTCAGATAAATTAAAATCCTGGATTTGGGGAGAACTGATATCAAACCTCCTGTGGCCTGTTTTATCAAGCTTGGACCACAGGACATATGGAACTAGGGCTTCAGTCAGGGATTCCAGCCATAATTAGGAGAGCCACTTTCAAATCTGGTTTTTCTGTGGAGTGTCATCATCACCCTGAGAGACCAGTATTGTCTGCGTTGTTTCCTTGATGGGTCTGCTTTGTGATCCAATGAGTCCCAAAGAATAAAATACCCTCTTAAGGTAAAAAAAAAAAAAATCCCCAGCTGAGAGTTTAGCAGCTTTGCTTAGTGTTCTGAAAAAGGCAATGAAACTAACAGGGCCTTTAGAGGAAATGAGAGCATGGGAGAGGCTGGGTGAGAACTGTCAAGCATTTTCTGTGTGCCAGGCACTATGCCAGATTTTTTTGTGGTGAATGGTTGTATAACATTTGTAAAGGTTCTATGAGGTGGGTTTAGGGCTTACCTGGTGGCTCAGTGGTAAAGAATCTGTCTGCCAAGCAGGAGATGAGGGAAGATTGCCTGGAGAAGGAAATGGCAACCCACTCTAGTATTCCTGCCTGGGAAACTCCGTGGACGGAGGAGCTACATAGTCCATGAGGTTGCACAAGTCGGACATGACTTAACAACTAAACAACAAATGAGGAGGATTTTATTATTTTATTTCACAGAATAGTGAACAGAAGGTCAGGGAGTTTAATACTGCTCCACAGATCACATAGTAAATGGGGGAGCCAGGATTCCACCTGAGGTCTCCGTGTCTGATGCTCCTGCCGTTTGCAAGAAGCTCATGCTGCCTCCCCATGGACATTTTGTCTGCAAGCCTGCTTCACTTCTCCTGCATGTCTTAGAACCCTGAATTCTAGAATCCTCCCCTGTCCCCAGGGGAGGGACTGATCTACTGGATCAACATTTGAGTTATTATGCTGTTTCTACTCTGTCTGGTCTCTTGAGTCCAGGAAAAATTACAGCTTAATTTCTTTAGCTGGGATAAAACTTCTGCAGTCAAATGGATCTGACCTTGAATTGTCCACTCAAACCTATTCAGACCAAACGGGTCTTGCCAGGTGCCCTTAATGCTGACGTGTCAGATCATTTATGAGTAAAGCATACCTGAACAAATGTGACCACATTTCATATTGGAAATAAACTAATGTCTAGCCAGATCCCCACTGTTCCAGGCCAGAATGAAGTCTTCCATCATTTCATACAGCTGGAATGCATCCCTTAAATAGCAAAGCCTACCTTGGCCTCCCTAAGCCCTGACACCCAGCCAGTTTCTAAAGGTCTTCTAATAGAAAACAACAAGAAATTTCCTAAGGGTGATTCAGAGAGCAGAATTTGGAGTTGGTTCTGATCCTAGGGATGAGCTGTGTTGGGCAGACACCTTGGACAGTATTCAGGCCCTGTGACCTTCAGCCTTCATCTTTTCAGAGCAGAAGCTGTTGACTCTATCATGAAAACCATAGTCCAAGCTTCATCTTGCTTAACTAAAGAGCCCAGATGCTTAAACTGGGCTTTTCAAAATCTAGTAACAAGGCTTGTGCTCTCAAAATTTCTTCTAGATTATTTCTAATTTAAAATAAGCCTTTTTAAAAGAATGGCATACTATTGGCTATGAGCAGGTGAAAACAGAAATTAAAGTTACGGAAGGGCCTGCATGCATTCAAGGGGATCTAACCACAGCATTTTCCTCTGTTAACTCCTTTCTTGTCCTCTAAAAATAGACCAGCCTGGCAGTGTGGATGAAGAGGGGCTGATCTTACTGGAGCAGAAGCTTTTTCGAGCCAAGACCCAGATCAACAGCCAGCTGCGGCCGCTGATGTCAGAGCTGGAGGAGAGAGTGCGTTGGCAGAGGGGCCACCTCCGCTCGCTGGAGACAAGCATAGATGGCATTCTGGCTGATGTGAAGAACCTGGAGAACATTCGGGACAACCTGCCCCCAGGCTGCTATAATACCCAGGCTCTTGAGCAACACTGAAGCTGCCTTCGAGATTTCCCAACTGGGGTTCTTAGGATGGAGACCTCAGGCTCAGAAGCCATCTCACGCGGGTGGGGTGGGATGGGGACATTTGAACGTGTCGATGGGCATTCTCAGCTCAACTGAACCTGGCCCCACCCCGAGACCTTGGCCAAGATCAATGTCTTATTTTACCAGTGTGATGCTCTTTGCTTCCTGATGCGGGGCAACGAGGCAAATAGCATTGAGTATGCGACTCATCAAGGGCCTGGACACCCAAAGGGTAGACCGGATGGAAGGACAAACCGCACAGGCAGATAGTCATAAACCAACTCCTGGCGTATGAACAAGTGTTGCCATGTCGTAGGCGGCTTATTCTTTGAGTAAATGTGACCAAAGGAAATTTTTTTTGACTTTGCCCACGCATAAAATTCTTCCTAATGTCAGAACAGAGAGTGAATTGAAGTCATGCTGTGGTCAGTAAAATATTGTTGCCTCATAGTGTTCAATGTGTTCTTGTTGATCAGAGTTCTTCCCACTTACTGACGATCCATGACATGTACTCCACTTTCAAGCTGGAGGAAGTGATGAACTGTAAGCCTGGCATATTTGGAGCATTGGTATCCTGCTACCTTTGAGTTCTTCTGGGCCTGGAAGTGCCCACCTTTCCCCTGATGATGCCAAGCAACTTAGAGACAATGTTTTTATTAAAGCATTTCTTACCAGCGAAGCAAACATTGGGAAAGTATTTACTTTCGAGTTTCAAAGTGATAGAAAAATGTAGCTTGGGCTCTGAAAGAGGTGCAGTTATCTAAGAAGATGTATTAGTCCTAATTCAATGCCATTTTCAAACACTAAAAATTATATGCCCCTATGGGTTTTGTTCTTACTCTTCTTTCGATAACAATGTTCCTACTCATACTTGAACTGGGTAGCATCCATCCTTCCATCCATCCATCCATCCATCCATCCTTACAACATATATTTATTGAGTACCAATTGTGTGCCAGGGGCTGGGTGGGGTACAGTGGTGACATAGTCTCTGTCCTCATAGAGTTGATTGAATAGTAAGGAAGACAAACCTTAAAAAAAAAATTTAAACTTACAAATCTTGTTCCTCACAAGTCATTGCAATAACCCCTTGGTTTTCAACCTCATTTTTTAACGGAACATATGTTGCAAGACATTCCCGTGGGTCACTTGGATTTTGGTAAATAGCTGAAATGACTCTGGATTGTGCACCCTTTCTTGCATTTCAGCTGTTGCTCTGCCCCTTTCCACAACTGATTGCAACAGATTGTTGAGTCATAACACCAGTGGGAATTTCTGGAAAAATCAGAGGCCCTTCTAGCCTCGGCTCAGTAGACTTTGGTACTGCCTCACCTCTGTATTTCCTTGGCTTTTCATGGACCTGTTTGTTTTTTTTTTTAAATAAAGAACAATTTGTAGATGCCTGTGGTCAGTTTCTAATTTGTTAAACTCTAAGCTTAAGGTGTAGGTACTAAGGCAGTGGAAACAAAAAATGCTTCAGAAAGAGATGTGAGCCCCCAGAATTAACATCTTTAATTCCTTTTTCTGAGCACCTTGTTTGCCCTTTCTAACCAGGCAAGCACTTTATGAGATTTAATTGGTTCTGTCTCCTAAGCATAAAGAAGGATTTATTTCTGGAACAACCTGAGCAGGGTGAGGGTGATAATTAATGTTTTGGCTTTTTTTTTCATGAGCTATAAAAAAATAAAGGCAAAAATCAATCATTTGTGGTACATTGTCATGCTTTTTAATCAACTAAAATTTAATAAATGGAGATTCTGAATTGGCCATCTATCCAAGTGACTGAGGACAGAATTTTGCTTCTGCCTACACTGACCCCCCAAATTCTGATAGATCTGATCACTATGCTTCGCCTTCTCTGAAAGTGCATTTTTAATCCTGTCTTGGCATACTCAATCACATATCTTACAAATTTGACTAGATTAACTACAATATCACACAAACCTAAAAATATGCATAATTCACTCATGATTGACTTTTTCCTTGTTCTCATCATATACTGGATGGAGAGAAAGTTGGCAGAGAAGCCCTCCACATATTCATTTCAGAGGCCCTTCCATTTATAACATGACTTTTAAGATTGCGCTAGTCAGCATCTCCCTTCCAATGGATGGAGAGGAAAAAAGGCATGGAAGAAGGAGATCCATGGAAGTTTTTGTGGGGCAGGCCTGGTGAAGGCTGAACATCACTTTCTATCACATTCCATGGTCCAGAACCTGGTACTATTATGACCACCTCTAACTTATAAGGTGTCTGGGAAATAGAGTTCCTTGGCAAGAAGCCAATTCTCTGACAGTTCTCTACCATGAAAGGGGAGAATGCATCTTAGTGATTGGCTATCTGTTTCTGTCAAGTATACGTATTCCAGGGAACTTGGTGGGGGATCCAAGGGTGCCTGCAATCATAAAAGGATTCCTTCATGGGATTGACTGTTAAGAGAGTCATAAGATTGTCTTCCCTGACACATGGGAGATGATCCCTATGTAGAGATGGGAAATAGAAAAGTGACTCTGTGGCTCTATTTGGACAGAAATGATTCCCTCATTTCTGAGGTTGTGGTAGATTGTCCCTAAGATGAAAAAGGAGCTTGTGACTTAGAAATAGCCTCCCCAGGACTTAGACTCTGATATCAGTCTTGATCTGACCCTGCCAAGTTAAGGGCACTTTCCTTCTTCTTTCTTATCAGTATTTGTGATTTGTAATAGAAACTCTTTTGTGCTTCTGAGAGTTATCTAACTAATTGTGCCATTGGTAAGCTATCACACATATTTTCATCTATTTTGACTCATGGGGATTTCTGTCTGGAGAAGTGGGTAGAAATGAAATGCACGTGGACTGTAACTTCTTAGTCAATGTACTTCTGATCTTATCCCAGGATGTGGGCTTTTTTTCAGTACGTTTGGCAGGTTGGACAAAATGTAAGATGGATACTTGGTAATGTCCAATGTTTGGAACAAGTTTCAAGGACTGGGAATGTGTTTATCTTTTTTTTTTTAATGTTTTGCATGGTCATGGTAATGTTGTAAATTCTTGCTGTGGCTGTTTTCCAACCTGGAAAGCAGAGGTTAGACTCTTTTTCCTCTGCTTTCTTTATACCATGGGCTACATGGAACTTTCTAGGAAATTCCAAGATCTGAAGTTTACTTACGGGTCATAAGGGAAAAAATGCGTTATGTATATGTCTGTTAACTTACAGATACAATATATATTTTGTAAGTTAGTATAAGTAAGCAAAATAAACCAATGTTTATACCCAATATTAAACGAGAGCTCATCATTATATACTCTCAGGACAGAGGGGAAAAAAGTGTTTCAATTTGTGACTAAAGCAGCAAATATAAATACAAACCATCAATTTATAAGTCATATCAAGTACCATAATGATATGTCACCAAACCCACATAGCTGACTAATCTCAGTCTTAAACAAAAAAAGAGACCAAGAACCAAAATGATAAACACACACACACACACACACACCCCTAATCTGACAAACCAGTAGCTAAACCTTAAGTGAGCTGGCAGCATGGAGAATTGTTATTCTACCTTCTGAATCACCATTCAGACCTAAACCCATACATAACGTTTGTCACAGTTAAAAATTAAATAAGATCGAATAGTCACAGCAGGGTTGAACAATTAACTTATTCATTTTTAGCTTGTTCACTTTGCCAAACAAAACCAATCATGAGTTTAACAATTTCTGTCTTACTTAATATCCTTTATGTCAAGAAGCAAGTTTTTCAAGTTTTTAATTTTCACAAATACATTTTTAATTCACAAAGAACTAACTTCTTCAAGGATCCAAAGCTAACCAATACCAGACTGTGCAGGTTAGGTAGAACTGAAGATTTCATTAAAAAAAAAAAAGAGTTAAAACTTAGGCACAATTGAACTAATTTGCTAATTATTCTTCCCTTCTTATGGGAGTGGTTGTGTATACTTTCATATTACACATGCGGCATTAGCTAAACCAAGCAGAAAATCTCCTGCTCTAAGAGCATTCTTAACAACTGTTGGCTCCTGTCAAGTAAGACTGTGAAGAAATAGTGATTAATGCTGCAACTCACAGAGAAGATTCTAGACCAAGACACAAGGCTCTAGTAGTATCATCTTATTTATTAACATAGTCGAACCATTTTGCTGATAAAACTTTTGTCTGTGACTATTCTAGCAACAAAATTTTACTCAAAATATTGCACTGTGAGATGTGGTGTTGCAACTTCAATGTAGTATTTATTAATGTGTTGATTTCCATAAAGCAAATCTTATTCTTAAAATGGCAGATTCAGTGACCAAAAAAGTGATTCAAAAAAGCTTTCCCCTTCCCATGCCAATCTTTGAGACTGCTAGGATCAAGCTGAGGTTTGGGCCCCAGACCTAGACTGAAGGAGGAGGGAAAGAGAGTAATTCATTCCTAACTGACTGTTACAGGCTAATAGAACATTCCAAACATACTCAACAAAGAAACCACATGAAAAATCGCATTCACTGGGCAGCTATAGGAAGGTGCAAACCAAACGAAATGGACAGAACACGTTCATCACCTTTACCATGATGCTATTCCTAAGGTGTCTGAATTGGATGAACTACAAAATCTATCCCTGGACCCATCCTTCCCCTCTTACCTGCCCACCTTCACATTGGAAAAGATCCTGAGCTTTTCACATACTGACTTATTTCTGAATTACTCTTTTGATGAATAAAATATAATAACATGCTTCTCTCTCTTAATCCGAGAGAGAGAGAAAGAGTAAGGGAGAGAGAGAGAGTGTGTGTGTGTGTGTCTGTCTGTTTGGGGGAGTAGATTTAGGCTAGTAAAATACAAGTCATTTCTCCCTGTAATTCTCTGCCTCTTGCTGTAGTTTGATTATAGAGTCTCACTTTCAATTTAATTAGAAGACCATGTTCTTTTGTTCTTTCTGAGAAGCTGGAGCAGGAGACTAGGGAATGTGGGAGAAAGGTTGGCCAAGCCGGGACAGGAAGAACAGCTTCTCTAGAAGCTCCAGTTCTGGGTTTCAGGCACTTCAGGAAGAGACTTTCCTCCCCTGTTCCCATGTACATTCAAGGAAAATGAAAGCAAGAAGGCCCCAAAGGCTGCCTGGGTGGGAGAAGGGAGGTGGTGAATGAGGTACCCGCTAGCAGCACAGACACCACCCCCCCACAGGGCCATTCCTTGAGGATGTCAGTGACACAAAGGGTTTCCCTTATGCCTGTTCTTACACATCAGCCACTTTCATGCAAGCGGGAGAGACATTTTTATTGGTAGGCAGGAAATGAGGCTTCAGACCCCTTCTTGACACAGTCATTCTAGCCCATGCCTTTCTCATGATCTCTGAACCTTTGGGTCAGCCATTGTAGGAAGGAGCAGGACCTCAGGCTGGAAGTCAGGACCTGGAGGTCATCCTGCGGGCACCTGGGGGCACCACTTGCAACTCTGAGTCATCTCTCTGGTATTGGCCTTGGCTGGGTCACAGTCACGTGTCCTGCCCTGGATTGAAAGAGGGGACCTGACCTCCCTGTAGCAAGTGAAGAAGGGGGCAGGGCAGGAAATGGACGCTTCTATCCAAAAGGGGAGTCACTTTTCCTTGTATTAAAGGAAAGTTATTTTATCATGATCCTTGCGATCAATTCACTAAGACAGACTCTTTCTCATTTCATTCCTAGAAATCTACTTATATCCCTCTTACTTTCTTCAGCTCATCTCACTCTCCCTACAAATGTGTTCTCCGCCCCCACACTGAATGCGGCAGTCAGCCCTGTTTCTTCTCATGGGTCATGAACTAAATGGGGCTTGACCACAAAGTCCAGCAGAGAGAATGGACTAAAGAAATAAAAGACAGCTGGTCGTTATCGGATCTGTTCACGTGGATCTTCAGAATAAACTCTGTCCATAAACTTCATATCCTTGAAGATGTGTGCTTCCGCAGGGAATCCAGCTCCCTGATTTCCTTTGTATCATTTCCTGGCTTCCGACTGCCTTGCCTAGACAAAGGTACTTCTGTCCTTCTCTCCCCAGCACTAGTGCAATCTTGAGCACTTTCTGGGTCTTTGCCTCCCACAAAGCAATCCTTTCTTGGATTCAGATGTCTTCTAAGCCATTGCCATTTCTAGCAGTTCATTCCTAACAGAAACCTAGCTACAGCCTTCTTCACCATCACATCCTCCCCCCAGGACTAGCACACACAAGGCTGTATACGGGAGCACCTGGGACAGATGTAAGTTAAGAGAAATGCCTGGTAAAGACTGAAAGCTGCATCTTATCTGGTATCATGGGGAACCAAAGGAGCAGATATCATGTGGTGTGATGATCTAATGGTCAGGGAAACATTAGCCTTTTGTCAGGCTTTACACATGCTGTGTGACCTTGGACCAGTCATTTAATCCAGTGGATCTCTGCTTCCTCATCTTTTAAAAGAAACTTTGGCTCAATTAATCCCTAAAGATCTTCTCAGATTTCATGATTCTTAGCTGAACACCGAGAGCCAAGACAGTATCTTTTGTCCTTTGGAGATTATTTCCATAATCCAAGAGGATAAGCCCTCCCCCTGCAACCATGCTACTCTTCTGTTAAATTTATTTTCCTGGAGGCTACTGAAGGATGCTACAGATGTTCCTGGCATCAACCAATACCTCCCACCCAATACCTCCCGGGCCAGGGCTGGTACTAGATATCAACAAAATTATCCTACAGTTTGGGGACC